GTTGAAGTGAAATGGACACTATGAGAAGCAATGACTTGATCAGCCCTTGTCCTGACTGTCAAGGAACAACTTAATACTTTATCCCTTTTAGTATTTTGTTTTGTTCTACTTAATACTATTGGTTGAACTCTGTAATTAACACACAATTATTCTTAAGTGTTGAAATTTAACTGAAAAGTGATCTCTGTTAAATATAAGAGTGGGAATAAGAGAGGGAGGAGATGAACAATTTGGGACATGCTCAATCGGACTTACCCCAAATGGTAGAGTTAGAAACATGCCAGGGGATTCCAATTCAATCCAATCAAGGTGGCATGTACCAATGCCATCTCACTAGTCCCAGTGATCAGTTTCAGTTCACAATTGATCATAATGAAAGGACTAAGAGTCAAAGGGATCACATAAACAAGACTAATGTCTGTTAATACTAGCTGATAGAATTAAAAAGGAGAGAACAATCCAACATGGGAAGCGGGATACACAGCAGACTCGTAAAAGGGCAGATGTCCTAAACAGCACTCTGGCCTCAGAATCAGCCCTTAAGGCATTCAGATCTGGTTGAAGAGTCCATGAGAGTATTTTAGGCATGGAAAGCCAAGATACTCTGGCAAAAAAAGGACCTATATGAAAGATGTCTGTGAGTGAGATCCCAGTGGAAAGAACTGGCCATCAAAGAAGGAGGCACCTTTCTCTGAAGGGAGGAGAGAACTTCTACTTTGACTATGACCTTGTCAAAATAAGATCAGAGTTAGTGAACTCAAAAGGCTTCCCTATCCTTGGCAACTCATGACTAGAGCCTAGGGTGATTACTGATGGCATAAACAAGAGTGTCAATTTGTTAAGTCAACAACAGGAGTCACTGTGCACTTACTCCTCATGTAGGATCTCTGTCCTTAATGTGTTGTGCAATGTGAATTAATGCTGTAACTAGTACTCAAACAGTACCTTACACTTTGTGTTTTTGTGTGGGTGCAAACTGTTGAAATCTTTACTTAATATATACTAAATTGATCTTCTGTATACAAAGAAAATTGAAAAGGAATCTTGATGTGAATGGGATGGGAGAGGGAACGGGTAAGGGGAGGGTTGTGGGTGGGAGGGAAGTTATGGGGGGGCCAAAGCCATTGTAATCCATAAACTATACTTTGGAAATTTATATTTATTAAATAAAAGTTTAAAAAAATGATCTATACTCATTCTTAAAAAAAAAAAAGAAGACATACAAATGGCCAGCAAGCATATGGAAAAATGCTCACCATCACTATTCACTAGGAAAATGTAAATCAAAACCACAATGACCTATTACCCAAATCCAGTTAGAATGTGTAGGATCAGAGACAAAGTGCTCATGAGGATGTGAAGAAAAAGGAACCCTTGTACACTATTGGTAGGTATATTAGACTTCACCATTATAATAAATACTTAAGAAGAGCTACTTAAGAAGGAAGGAGGTTAATCTTGGCTTATGATTTTGGAATTCACAGTCCAGGATTGGGTGGATCCCACTGGTTTGGCCATCTGGTGAGGACAGAGAATTGGCAATGGCAAAATGTGTGTGGAGGAATGATTACATGGTAACCCAGGAAGCAGACAGTGGCTGGGCCAAACTTGGCTTTTATAACCAACCTCCTTGGGAGAACTACCTTCTGAGGGCATGCTTCTAATGACCTAAGTACTTCCTCATAGGCCCGCCTCCTGATCATCATAATTGGATAAAGCCTCCACTCTCCTAGAACCACCAAACCATGACTTTGGAGTTTAAATTTGGGAGCTAAATTCTGTTCAAACCATAGCACTGTGAATGTAGCTCAATACACCCATTGTGACAAACAGTATGCGTCTTCAAAAAAAAATAATAAATAGAGAGAAAGCACTTAGGAGAATCTAGCTAACTTCACCAAGATAGTGGTGGAAAAAGGGAGCCAACCCAGAGAAAAGAACTGAGGAACAGTTTGCTGATGGAAAAGCAGGAAGTAGCATCAACAATAGCAATTGGAAAAGAAGAAAATTATTTTCTTTTCTATCGAACAAATGTTCCATTCTAGAAAGTGTGATTGATTCTCTCAGTGGACAGTTGGGTTGATTTTATTACTCCATTCTCTCTCTATATGTACTCACTGAAGTGAATTATAGGCCACAAGGCACAATCCATCTTTATTCGAGGCATTAACAGTCAGAAATATGAAACTACTAATTTGTTACTGCTTAGAAGGATTACCCCTGTAACATGAATTTGACCCAGTGGATATCATCATTATATTGCACATAATTTTAATTGCTTACACTTAAGATTCAATATTCAATGTTACCTTTTTTTCCCAGGATAGCAGGTTATGAAATGACAGAGTAAAGTACATTTAGGAAACTTTTGGCCTCAATTCCAAGGATAAAGTTTAATTTATAATTTATCAGACAGTCCAAGAATATTTTAAGTTTTATAAATAGTTAAAAAATCTTTTAATTAAATGTTTAATTATGATCCATTGATTCTAAAAGGCTGGTGTGAAAGCTATTTTCACTTTATGCTATGATTTTGAGACAATAAAATAATATTAAAGAATAAACTTACACTTAAAAAATTAAAATTAGAACTACCATATGAACCCACAATCCTACTATTGTGTGATTATATATATATATATATATATATAGAGAGAGAGAGAGAGAGAGAGAAGAATTGTGGTTACCAGAGGCTGGGGAGCATAGGGGAAGGAGAGGAAATGGAGAGGTTGGTTACAGTTAAGTAAAAAGAATAAATCCTGGTGGTTTATTGCACAGTAAAGTAACTATAGTTAATAATAATTTATTGCATATTTCAAAACAGCTAAAAGAGAGGATTTTGACTGCTGTGTCACAAAGAAATGAGATGTCTGAAGTGATGGATATATTAATCATCCTGATTGGTCATTATATGATGTATACACGTATTGAAGCATAACATTGTACCACAAAAACTTGTACAATTATTATGTGTCAACAATAAAATAAAACTTTAAAAAAACACTACAAAATTGTGTTGGCTATTCTAGGGCCTATGAATTTCTATGTAGATTTTAGAATAAGCTTATTTATAGTTACAAAATAATCTTGCTGAGATCTTGATACAGAATTTACCAAAATGTAGTATAACCATTATGGAAAACAGTATGGAGATTCCTCAGAAAACTAAAAATGGATCTACTCTATGACCCAGACATCCCACTTCTGGGAATATAACCAAAGGAAGTGAAATCAGCATATGAAAGAGATACCTGTACTCTCATGTTTACAGCAGGCTAATTCAAAAAAGCAAAGATTGGAATCAACAAATATGTGCATTGACTGATCACTGGATAAAGAAAATGTGGTATATATACACAAATATTCAGTCATAAAAAATGAAAACCTGACATTTGCAACAAAATATATATTTGGAAATCATTATGCTAAGTGAAATAAGCCAGACACAGAAAGACAAATACGGCATTTTCTTGCTAATGTATACACAGAGATTGAAAAAAGGGTGTAAATGTCATATTACTTGATATAAAGTTATAAACATTGCCCACAGAATAATACCATGTACATTACAATATACCCTTCTTTCCCCACTTTGTGATCAGCAATTTGGGGAGAGAACCAATGAATGAAAGATCTCTCTCTCTTCTCTCTCTCTCTCCATTTCCCCTAACCCAGTCACTCTGCCTTTCAAATAAATAAATACATCTTAAAAAAAAGAAATGACATTTTATTGAGTCTTCCAACCATGAATGTGGTTTGCTTCTTCAAGTACTCAGGCCCCCCTTGATTCATTTTTACCAGTATTTTATAATTTTATCATGTATGTCTTGTATTGTTCTATCACGTATATCTTATTAGGTTTATATTTAATTATTTTAATTTATTTGGAACAACTGAATGGCTGCTTTTCATTTCTATTTCTGTATACTGATTATAATAAGTATACAGAAATGCAACTGATTTTATATGTTCATCTTGCATCATGTGGCTTTAATGAATTCACTTACTCTAGTATTTTATTGTAGATTACTTGATACTTGTTTATGTAGTCATGTAGTGTCGCTCCCCGTCTTCATGGAGGAGCGACACTGAACCCTGCGTTGTTCTTTTGTCTGCTCGGCCCTCCCCGGGTTTGCTGCTGGTTCTTCCCGGGTTGGCTACTGGTCCTTCCCGGGTTGGCTGCTGGTCCTTCCCGGGTTGGCTAACATCCCTTCCACCTCCGTGGAAGGGCGGTTCCCCCTGCCACATTCCCCACTTCCGCGGGGGAGCGGCACACCGCCAGCCGGCTCTCTCGGGGGCTGCACAGGTGTTCCCCTTAGATGTTCCTGGTGCATGCCGTCTCTCTCCTCCTTTATAGTCCTCTTCCACCAATCCCAACTCTGCTACCCACACGCCGAGTACGCTGCTCTCCTCCAATCAGGAGCAGGTCCCACAGTTTATTGGTTGAACTGGAGGCAGCTGTGTAGAAGCTGTTTCCCTTCTCAGCGCCATATTGTGGGAAAGCAGATGCATAGAATTAGTCTTAATTCCAGTAACTTAGTCTAGTCCGAGTTGCTCCCAGTTGCTCCCCACAATGTAGTAATTATGCAGTTGTTTATATAGTCAGTCATGTATCTGCACATAATGAGTTTTATTTTTTCCTTTCCAATATGTATGTATCTTATGTCTTTTTCTTGCCTTATTGTAGTGACTACAATGTTCAATATTATGATTAATAAGAATGGTGGGATTAGATTTTAAATGAGAGTAGTGAGAGCAGACATCCTTGTCATATTCCCTATTGTAGAGGGAAAGTTTTGGGCTCACTATTACATAAGGTATTAGCTGTGGATTATGATTTTATCTAAAGAGAAAAACAAGAAGCACAAAAAATGCTTCTAAAGCAAGGGAAAAAAAAGAAATGTAACTAAAAGAATGTCCTTTTTTGGAAAGGGAAAATCCAATTTTCACAATTATTCCATAGAAGAGTTACCCAAATAGTAAGTCTCCTGTCCACTTACAAGTGAAAAAGAGCGTGGTCTCATCCAAACGTATGGTCTTTGGCTTGATACATAAATCCACGCTGGCAGTGTCCAGGCTGCGCTGATGAGTCTTAGAGTTGTAGCAAGATGCTGACCGGCAGTGATCTCGAAGCCAGACATAATCAAAGCGCATCACAGTGTTAGCATACTGTAGTTCTAAGGGAAAAGATCACATTCATCAGGAACACTTATTTAGGAAAATAAAACAAAACAAAAATCTGTTGCCAGAGAACTTTATTCTAAAAGTCTTCTACCAAGATACATGTGAAATTAACAAGGTAGAGACTATCATCATTTATTAAAACATACGATAGAATTTCGATGATTCAAATGGTATGGTGTTGGTATAGGACAAGACAAAACAATGGAAGAGTATAAAAATTCCAGAAATATACCCCTACATTATATGGAAATTTCCCATGTAATAAAGTGGTAGATAAAATTACTTAGGAGATGATTTTTTAAAATAAATGCTATTTGGACAGCTAGGTATCTATTTAAAAAAGATCAACATATATCTCATATCTCTTGTCACCATATCTCATGTAGTTGTATGATCACCAGGATAAAGAGTTCTAAATTTGGGACATAAAACCATTAAAGTATTAGAAAAGGAAACATGAGTAGGTGAGGGTATATAGGAGGTCCTTGCATTATTCTAGCAACTTTTCTGTTAGTTTGAAGCTATACCAAATTTAAAACATACCCTCGGGACTGGCACTGTGGCACATCAGGTTAAGCTACCCCCCTGAAACCCTGACATCTCAAATGGGTGCCAGTTCTGGTCTCAGCTGTCCCACTTCTGATCCACTCTCTGCTAATGAGCCTGGAAAAGCAGTGTAAGATGGCCTACATGCCACTCATATGGGATACCTGGATGACGCTTCTGGTTTCAGACTGGCTCAGCCCCAGCCATTGTGGCCATCTGGGAAGTGAACTAGCAGATGGAAGATTCTCTCTGTGTCAGTCTCTCTTTCTCTCTCCCTGTAACTCCGCTTTTCAAATAAATAAATAAGTAAATAAATAAATATTTTTTAAAAATCCCACCAAACTCTTCTAGACACTCATTTTCTCATTTAGAAAAGTTTACAAAGGCAGTAAAAATTATGAAGTATCTGGGAATACACAAAAAATATTGAGGACTGATGTAAAGAAATCTATATAACTATCTTAAAGGACTTGAAAGATACTTGAACAGAGAAATATCATGTTCAATGATGGACAATTTCAATAAGGCAAAATATAAATTCTCTTATAAATTAATACAAATATTTCATCAGTTTCCAACTTGTATTCTAGTGAAACTTTTCATGTTCTGAACAAGTTAATTTCAAAATTCATACTGGGATAAATATAGACAGTGAGAGAGATCTCCCATCCACTGATTTACTCCCCAGTGTCTTCCATGTGGGTGGATGACTTAAGCCAACACCTGCTACCTCCCAGCATGTGTGTTAGCAGGGAGCTGGAATGGAGAGTGGAGCCAGGACTAGAACCCAGGCACTCTGATATGGGATGCAGATGTCCCAAGCCAAACCCCTGTCCCTGCAAATAGTCAGTTTAAAAGTATAGAACTGATGTAGAATAGATGAATAGATCAAGAGGACAGAATAGAATCCCAAAGCAGACACATGTATACATGGAAACATAGTATATGAAAAATATAGAATTTCATAATGTGGAAAAAAGATGAACTACTCAATAAGTGTTATTAAAATTAGTAGTTAAAAGGCAAAGTAACAAGGAAAATATTTGTAACAAAAAAGGATTAATGCCCAGTGTATAGAATAAATCTCTGTGATCGCTAAGATTAAAACTCAACAGGAAAAGAGGTCAAGGATACCAGCAGGAAAGTCTTTAGAAGAGACCAGTAAACACATGAAGCCCTTCTCTGCTTAGTAGTATTCAAAGGAATGGGTATTACAACCAAAATGGGATATCATTTTATGTCTAGTAGAGTGACAGAACTTTTAAAATTTTATTACAATGAGTGTTTTCATGGATGTGAAGAAATGCACACTTGTGAACATTGGTAATAGGAATACAAATTGTCAAAGCCATATTGAGGGGCTGGCACTGTGGCGCAGAGGTTAATGCCCTGGCCTGAAGTGCCGGCATCCCATATGGGCGCTGGTTCGAGACCCGGTTGCTCTGCTTCTGATCCAGTTCTCTGCTATGGATTGGGAAAGCAGAAGATAGCCCAAGTTCTTGGGCCCCTGCACCTGCGTGAGAGACCCAGAAAAAGCTCCTGGCTCCTGGTTTGGATCTGCACAGCTCCGGCCATTGAGGCCATCTGGGGAGTGAACCATCAGATGGAAGACCTCTTTCTCTCTTTCTCTGCCTCTCCTCTCTCTGTGTAACTCTGACTTTCAAGTAAATAAATAAATCTAAAAAAAAAAGCCATACTGAAAACTCAAGGAATATAATTTTTTCAAAGAATATAATTTTTAAATGTGCATATTTGTTGCTTGATCCAGAAATTCACCTCTCAGTATTTGTTTTATAGAAATAGTCACTCATTTGGAGGTGCACACAAGGATACTCGTAATAGTGTTATGATTTCAAAAAATGATTAGAAAATAAGACAAAAGGTTTTTCAGTGGAGAAAGAGGAGGAATAGCTGAATAAGCTATGGTTTATCCATATTTTAAAAAATGCTGAACGTGTATTTCTCATATAAACTTTCAATAGCAGTACCGTTATCATTTTAAGGAAAAAGAAATTAAAGCTCAGAGAGGTTAACTGACTTTGTAAGATAATATATACTAATTTTGTAAGATAATATAACAACTAGGTGGTAGAGCTAGGACATGAACCCAAATCATCTAATCCAATACCCTACAACACCAGTATTTCTAAAAGTATAGCTTTGGGAATCTGAAGGTGAGACCTGTGGGAGTGAAGAGTGTGGAGCTTGGTGAATTCTCTCTTCCAAAAGCAATGATAAGACTTATGGGGGTGGGCAGAAGGAATGTGAAAAAAAAAAAACACCAACCGTTTTAAGAATCTAGAAGTTTGTCCAAAGGCATAAGGCAAATTAAGAACCATTTTTTGTATCTTTAATTTCTTTAGAATTCTCTACACTATATTCCACAATGGCTTCACCAATCTATGATCTCACCAGCAGTGTACAGGGATCCTTCTTTTCCATATTCTCACCAACATCTGTTATTTCTTGTCTTTCCAACAATAGGTTATGGGCGTTGGGTGGCATTTCACAGTTTTCATTTGCATTTCCCTGATGATTAGTGATGTTGAACATCTCTTCGAATACCTATTGTTGGCCACTTTTATGACTTTTTTGAAGAAATGTTTATTCAGATCCTTTAGTCTCTTTTTAATTGGCTTATGTATTTTAATGCTATTGATTTGGATGACTTTTTAAAATAAATTTTGGATATTAACCCCTGATGAGATATATGGTTTGCAAATGTATTTTCACAACCTGTAGACTACCATTTCATTTTGCTGATTGTTTCCTTTCCTGAGCAGAGGTTTTTTAGTTCATTGATGTGGATTTATTTATTTATTAATTTTCTATTATTAGTCTGAGCTTTGGGTGTGATATCTTAAAAAAAAAAAACTCTTGCCAAGATCAATGTCAAGGAGCTTTTCCTTCTCTTTTATTCTAGTTGTATGGTTTTAGGTTTGATGTTTTGGTATTCTATTCATTTTGAGTTGATTATTGTGTATGTGTAAGATTGGAGTCCAACTTCATTGTTTTTCCTCCTGGGTATATACTCAAATAAAATGAAATCATCATCTTGTGATGATATCTGTACTCCAAAGTTCATTGTAGCATCATTCATAATAGCCAAGATAGAGAAACAAGATAAGTGTCTGTCAATGGATGACAAAAAGTGTGATTATACATATTATGCACATTATATATAATAACTGTGAATATATATATATATATAGAAACATATTTTAGCCCTAACACAGAAGGAAATCCTGACATTTACCACAACATGGATGAGCCTGAAGGACATCAAACTAAGTGAAATAAGTCACACACAGAGAGAAAAATGTTGTGTGATTTCATGTATAAGAGGTCTTCAAAAAATTTATGGAAAATATGTATTATAAAAAATCTATATATGAATTTCAAAAATTTTTGCACCAAAATAAACATATATTCAAAGTAATTTTCCCACATACTTTCTCAGGTACAACCAACTATGTGGAATTCAAATGAAAAATAATTCAAATATACAACTACAGAAAATCAAACAATGGTTTATCAAGGATGGGGGAAGGAAATGGTGAGATATAGGTCAAAAGATATAAAGTAGCAGATATTTAGGATGAACAAATCTAGAGATCTAATGTACAACATGAAGATTATGAGTATAGTTAAGAATAGTATATTATATTTGGAATTTTTGATAGACAAGTAGATTGAAGTTGCTCTTGCCACACAAACAAAAGTGGCTAACTTTCTGAAATGATGATGGATTTGGCATTTTGCTTCACAATGGTAACCATTTTACCATTTACATATCTCATAACATCATGTTACAGACTTTAAATATAAACAATAAAATTTGGTTTGTAAAAGAAGTATTTATTAAGAAAAACGACTGAACCACATGTTGTAAGAACAGTGAGAATCTGTAGTGTGTTTTATCCTGGGCTGCTCCCACTCCCTATCTCTACCCCAGGTCTATCAGGAGTAGTCCTATAAGGGAATGGATAAGCTAAGAAAACCAGCTACTGAAAGAAACTAACTTGATTTGGAGCAGAGCACCCCCCCCCCCAAAAAAATCCTATGCTTCTGGGTGTTGTTAAAAATTATCAAGGAAGGCATACTTGCTGGGGCAAGCAACAGACCAGAAGAACAGCCAGAAATATAACAAGAGGATCCAGGGAATCAGCTATGATAGATCTGGAAAAACTCCCATACATCCTTGGTATTTGGAAAGCTGTAAACACATGCAGAGCAAATTCAAAAAATACAAAAACATATCACTGATACTCCCTGGGGAGATTAGAACTCATCTTCTGCAACTTTATTTAAAATGCCCAATTTTTCAACAAAACATCATGAGAAATGCATACAAACAGAAATGTGACCTATACTCAAATAAGTGGGCAACAGAAACTCTGAGAATATTATATAAAATTCCATTGCCTAAGTTAGGCATAAAGATAGA